GCACGTCCCCCGGCGGCTTCTCCCCGCCGCCGCTCCCGCCTCGCCCGGCGCTCCCGGGGCCGAACTTGCGGCCTCCCCGGCGCCGGGCCGGCACTGACGCGCCTTTATTTGAACGCCTCGTAGAGCGACTGGAGCGGGGCGGAGGGACGCGGCGCTCGGGCAGCGAGCCGAAGGATGTCCCGGGACGGCGAGGGAGGCAGCGTGACGGCCTAGACCCGCGGGAGGAGCGGCCGCTCCGGCGCTCGGGTACGGCGTGCGCGGCGCGGCGGGCGGTGCAGGTGGCGGCGGCGGGGGATGCGCTGCCGGCGCGGGAGCCGCGCGGAGGTGATCGCCTGTAAGTATCGCTGTGCTGTGCCGGGAGAGAGCTCGCCCGGGGGGAAATCCTTATCAGATCGGAGGAGTCAGGGCGTGTGCCTTGCCTTCGGGTTTCTCAGGATTTTCCTGACTGAGCAAGGTAATGAGGTTCTCTAAGGATGCCACTTGGGAGCTGCGAGGGAGTGAAGGCAGAATCATTTAGTTGGAAAAGAGCTCCAAGAGTTCCGAGGTCCCACCTGTAACCGAATATTTTCTGCGAGCCTGAGTGACGTCTGAAATGGTGTCTGAAAAGCACTGCATTCGGCTTTATGTTTAACGATTGGACGTTGCTTTAATGTTTCCGATTGTAAAACCGTGTTAGCGCTTAACTGTTAGGTGTTCAGTCTTGTTGGAGGAGGGCCTGGTGAAAGTACACAGAATCACAGGTTAGTTAGGGTTGGAAGGGACCTCTGGAGATCATTTAGTCCTGTCTGCCTGCCAAGGCACTATAACCTAGAGCAGGTGACATAGGAATGCATCCAGGTGGGTTGGATTTTCTCCAGAGACCTTATTGGGCAGCATGTTCCTCTGCTCTTATACCCTTAAAGTAAAGAATTTCTTCTTCATGTTGAGGTGGAATTTCATGTGTTTCAGTGTACAGCCATTGCTCCTCGTCCTGTTGCTGGGCTCCCCTGAAAACACTCTGGCACCATCTTCTTGGCACCCATCTTGGAGAAATTTAAATGCAATAATGGAATTCCCTTTCCGTCTTCTGCAGACTAAACAGGCCCAGCTCCCACAGTCTCTCCTTGTAAAATGCAGTTTGTGTCAGAGGCAGTTGTTTCTGCAAGAAGTTTCATTGAAATGGTTACATACTTTCATCAGCTGTATACAGTTTTACCTGATGTCTTATTATGTAGCCATTGTGGTGTTTGACCATGGTTTTGGTTTTATAAGGATTTTATCTTCTGGTGTAGCATGGTACGTATGAATTGGAAATGGGTAGGCCTAGATTACCAATTATTCCCAGAATATTTTTGTGAGGTATTTTTTGTGCTGCTTTCAGTAGGAGAAAGGATATTTTACAAGCCTCCTCCTTTAAAAGAACTTAATTGACCTTGTTCATTTTTGTGCACACCTGTATTGTGAAGTTTTTATGCTGATTGGAAGCCAGATATCTACTCTTGTAAAAGCAAGCCTTGTAAATGGAAATAACTTCTACATCAAAAGCTTCTAGCTATTTCTATATATCATGTAGTGAAATTCTTGTAGTTCTTTCCTAAAACAATGCATATGGTAAAAATCAAACATTTATAAAGCCATGGTTGTTATAGTTGGACACTAAAGGACCTTTTTCTTTCAGCACCAGGTTCCAAGTTTTTTGAAAGCTTTTGGAGTTGATAGATTACTTACGCCAAATTTGTACTTCAGTTAAAGTGGTCTTGCATATAATTTTTTAACATAGTATGGTATGTGAAAAAGAGAAATTAAATTGTAGTCAAATGTTGGTGTAATCAGTTGTTTATATTGTTTTAAAATAATAGAAAATGACAGCTTGTTTTAAAACATTCTTTAATGATTATTCTGTTGATGTGTATATGAAATACTCTAGTACAGCACAAATTTCAGCTTGAAATCCATTGGGAAAATCAGCTCTAGGAATGATGATCACATCCACCAGAAGAGAATCATTGTTTGAATATATTATTTAGAAATTTCTGGGTTTAGTCAGTTGTATTGTTGGGAGTTTTGGCTTGGGTTTTTCTTGATTCAGTTTTTTGTTGTTTTGGGTTTTTTTGTGGGGGAAGTGGAGGGTGGTTTGTTTGGGGTTTTTTTGAGAGGATTAAATAAAACAATCTGTGGTGTAGTGTGTGTTGGGGCTTTGTCAGTGTGGTTTTTTTTTTTTAACCTGATAGAAGTAAGAGTGCCTCAGTATCAAAACAGCTAGAACAAAGCCAAAAAGCTATTTAGAAGCTTATGGCAGTTTTAATTTGGTTATTGTGCCTCTATTCCAGTATGTTTGTACAGCTTACAAGTATAATGGCTCAGATACCTCATTTCTTAGGCCTTATTAAAAATGTATTTTTCTTCTTTTTTTTTTTTTAGTCTGTAGTTACTCATTTGACCTCTTCTTTTCCCCTACTTCTGGTTATATTAAAATGCTCAGACTGGTATTTTCAGTGTAAGTTTTCCTAGATTTTTTTGTGTCCTTTTGTGGTGAAGGCCTATTTAAACCTACGATTGCACATGTGCAGGCTGTGTGCTGTTAGCAATGGACTTGGTAATCAGCGTACAATTGAAAGGGAATGGTTCGCTGAGCTCCTTGGCTTGACTAGAATTGGGTATGTAAAAAGTTACTCTGTTGGCAGGAACTTTTTAAAACAAAACCAAATCATCAACTTAACTCTCGATAAAGCAGTGGCAGATGCAGATATCTGGATGCTTTTTAATAAAGTAGTTCTCAGAGCAGAGACGGCCAAAGGAGCAGCAGCAGAATGTTTTCTGGACACTGGAAGAACGAACAGCTGCATGGAATCAGTCTGCATGTCTGTTTAGTCTAGCATCTTGTCTCAGGAGTGGACACTCATTTATGCATAGACAAAATAATGAAAACAGTAGCTATTGTTAGGAGGCTGCTGCTCTTTGGTGGAAAAACTACTTTTGTTGTGGTTTTAATCAAATTAAATTCTCTTTGCAGAGAATCAGAATGACTAAAAAAAGAAAACGTCAGGAGGATTTCCAGAAAGTGAAATTAAAAGTTGGGAAAAAAAAGCCTAAACTAGAGAATGCAACTGATACTACCTTCAAAACAAAGGCCATACAAATTCCTGAGCAGCTTAAAGAAGATGGAGTGCTTCCTACACAAAATAGAAAACTTAACATAAAGGTATACTGTGATATTACATTCTGAAATGACTGAAAATTGCTTGCGTTTTATCTAGGTTGACTATGTTTACTGCAATATCTTGTATTTCTCTGCAGGGTGGATTTGTTTTCCTTTGTGTCTTTTGTCTCTTGCAGCTTTCTGCTTAAATGGAGGAAAGCTATTCAGGCTGAGGTTTTGTAGTTCTGCTTTTGAGAACAAGAGTGAGAGGACTTTCCTTTGGTCATCCCTCTGTTGAGTCAGTAGGATTGTGCATAAACTTAAGGATGAGGCCTAAGGACAAGCCATTATATCTTGTTTTCCATGTCACTGAATTCTAATTATTTGTTTATTGTTGTGCTATAAAATGGATACCATGTTCATTCTAAACACATTTTGCTATTGTGAACAGCAGTACATCGCAAGAATATTCTGTATTTTTAAGTGTTTAGGAAAAATATGCAGAAAATACATGGGGGAAGTTTGAACAGCTTAAAATAGTAATGATGACAAGTGTATATGTTTGTTTCCTTCTAGGATCTGCTCTCACAGATGCATCACTATAGTCCTGGGGTTAAGCATAATGCACTTCTTGGACTCAAAGAACTCCTGTCTCAGTATCCCTTTGTAATTGATGCACACTTTTCCAGTATAATAAGTGAGGTGGCAGCTGTGTTTACAGACAAAGATTCCAGTGTCAGAGGAGCAGCTGTTCACCTGCTGCAGTTCTTGGCTTCAAAAATAAGAGCAGAACAGATTGCTCCATTTTTTCCTTTGGTAAGTGCCCATCTCTCTAGTGCCATGACTCATATCAGTGAGGGAATTCAGGAAGATTCATTGAAAGTCTTGGACGTTTTATTGGAAGCATACCCAACTCTTCTTACAGACCGCAGCGTTATATTGTTGAAGAATTTTGTTGAGCTTATTTCTCACCAGCAACTCTCAAAAAGACTGAAAAGCAGGGACAAACTTTTCTGGATGCTCTCTGTTAACCCAAATCGCAGAGTAACTTCTCAGCAGTGGAGGTTAAATGTACTTACCAGGCTCAAGAAGTTTCTGCAAGCAGTGGTAGATGGATCCAGTGATACAGAGGATGAAGGGCTTCAAGAGCAGAAGGACAGCTCTCATTCTGTGAGGCACCCAATATGTGTTAGTTGGAAGCTCCATGCAAATAATCAGCAACATATACAACTGGCTGGTGGCTTACGACCAAAGATCAACTCAACATTTAGACTGAGGTGAGAAAATGTTGACTCGTTTGGGAATTAATTTCAGCTGTGTGATTGCAATTTATTTTTTTTAGTGGGATTGTCCCTTAGCCATATTTTAGGACACTTTGCGTAATTTGTAGTCTTACTGCAGGGGCTTAAAAATACAGCAGATAACTGTATTATGTGTATATCATGAACCTTTCCATTATCAAGTCTTTATTTTATGCTATTAATGATAATTTTGGATTACCAGCTCTATTGGGATATTTTTGGAATGTAAACTGACAGCTTCTTGCAGGATGTCTAAAAGACCTAGGGGCAAGTAGGCAAATTGCTTTATGTGAAACCTAAGCTCATTTGTGATAATGAATTTTACTGAAATTTTGTGCTTTTACCTTCAAGAGTCTATCATAAGCTTAGGAGTCTGTTATCTTTGACTGTAGCTCCTTTTAAAAAAGACAGCAGATCCTTTTTAAAGTGGCAGTGTCTGGTGGTATGAAGTTCTGCTGAGTTTCCAATTCTAGATATTTTGATAACTTCACTGGTTTATATACTCACTGTGGATGAAAGATGTCTTGGCTGAGACATGCTGATGAATATGAAAGTGCAGTGTGCTTAGTCACAGAAAGGTTTGTGTGGGTTTTCAGTAGTACTCTAAACAGATGTGAGCTGAAGTTAAGGGAAAAATAAACAACTGTTTTGATTTCTCTTCCTCCTCTCTGATTCACCCACTAGAGGTGAACCTCCCACCTCACTTTATGGTTCTTTTTGAACATTGCCATCCTCACACACGTTACTATGGATGCTACATACCTGCTGGCAGGAGACCTGGAATGGTGATTTAAATAATGGAAGCAGTTTAGCTGTTACACAGCTCTGTTCCTGGTAGATACCAAGGTGGTTTGAAGAAAAACCACAATACTTGTTTTACTGCTGAGAAGACAAAGTAAGAGGTATGAAGCAGTTATGCCAAATTCATCTAGGAAGTCAGTGGCAAAAAGGGGTTTAAAACCCACTGCCTACTCCATTACTATGTCTGTCTTACATCTTTGAAGGAATGAAGGACAGAAGAAGAGGTGTTCTTGCTGAAAACCACAGGTTGACCTGAATTGGCAGGTGTTTTCCATCTCTGTCAGGGAGAGACAGATATTCCTACTCTTCTAGAGAGGCAGCATATTACTTTTGGTAGGTATAGGAAACATATTAGGCTAAGTAAGAAGGTCAGCTTATTCTCCTAAAAGTGGTTTTCAGCCTAAGTATTCAGTCATGACCAGAAGTATCTGCTGTAAAATTTTAGCTGGCAGCTAGGCTGGTGATGCCCCCTTGAGGCAGGGGAAGGGTTCAGTGCTGAGCACAGAACAGTTCTACTGAGTTCATTTTTGCAGTCAGAAGCACACAGTTGTGGACCACTGTGTATCAGAGGATGCTTGTATTGTGCCCTGGGTGATATGCAGTGTATGATGTACCAGGCCGTGTAATAGCTGAAGATGCATTGTATCCAAGGTCTAGGAAAATAAACTTTACATCTGGTGTCACCTGAATTGGATTCCGCTTTTCTGAGGAGCTAGATTTTGGTGGAACGTCGTGATGTGCTTCTGGTTATAAATACTTACAAAAAGATGTTTGCAAGCATAAGGAGGAGCCAGAAGAATAGAAGGAAACATGGCTAGAATCCAAGGCGAGATTGGCAAAGCAAGCTGATGGCAGCAGAAGAGAAGAATAGAAAGGGAAGGATCATCTGCTGAAGGTACTAAAATGTTCTCATTTTATTGCATTTGTGCATATTTTTGGTGTATTTGTTTTTCACAAGGGTAAAGCTTGTTTTAGTGACTATGTGTGAAGTTTCCAATAGCAAAGAATTGTGGTGGTGGTTTTTGTATTGGCCACTGAAAGAATTTCTAATAATCTAAAGGTGTTTAATTCTGTCACTTGCAATCCCAATTGTTGCCTTTTATGGGCATTCCCAGGCCTGTGCTATGGCCAGTACTGCAAGGACAGAAATTAGTTGTAATAAGAGGTACAATACTCAGTGTGTGAGTGTTTAAAGTCAAATAGTCAAGTCTGTGACTAGCTAAGGATAATGAGTTGACCAAACCATAACTAATTATTTGCAGTGTGTGTGTATTGATGGTCTTCTCACTGATACTGCAAGTAAGTTTCAATTTTGTTGAAAATAGTTCCTTTATCTATTTAATCTTGCGAGCTCATTGGACAGGGCTGACATGTCACTGATAACCTAGTGATTATGGAATGAGGTTTTCTGAATCAGTTTGCAGTATTACTGTTTAATAAAAAGGATAGATTCTGTGCTTGGAATGCTGGATGATTCGATGATGTAACTCTTAAGACTTCATTATCTTCTGTTGTATGCTAGATCTTTCTACTGTGTATAAATTAAAAATTGTGGTGTATTAGGAAATTGTTCAAATATGTTCTCTGCATTATGTGCTGACTGTGCTGCTTTTTGCATCAAACTCATTTCAGGTGTGGAAAAACAGCCTTCACAACTCAAATGTGGTGGTACCAAGGCGTGTGTTTTTGGTTTTTTTTTGTTGTGACTGGAAGAGAAACAGTTGAGCTTCAGATTCTGCTGAGAGAGGACAATATGAAGCTGCAGAGAAAAGAAAAAATTACTTGAGAAACTGAAATGGAAGATGAAGCATAGCCAATAAATATGTACATGTACATCAAAGAGAAAAGGAAAATGCAGTTCACTCGGTGTGCTGTGTGTTTGCTGCATTTGGCAGTGCACACAGAAAAGGAGGACAAGTAACCTGGCTTAAACTGCAAGTCATAAAAACTTAACTTCCAAAGACATTCCCTGTTTTAAAGAACAGCAAGTTGTTTTTATTTTCTATTTCTTTTATGCTTCCTTGACTTCCCTTTGCTGAATTTCTATTGTCTTCTCACTATCAAAAGGCAGATATTTACACAATTTTTGTTTGGTCCTGCTGTATAAAAATGCTGGCATTTTAAAGAAAAATTGCAGCTTAGGGGGTACACAAATATCTTGCAGCTCCCTTCAACAGGCTTTTATTCTGGTATAAAGGTAATAAGCTTTGCTGTGTTTCCAAGAGTCCCCTACCACTCAAGAGTAGTGATAACAGATATGTGACAGTGCAATTGGCATCAAACCTGCCCAGGTCGAGTGAACCTGTATTGTTAAGTATGCTGTACTAATCAAATAAATGCTGGACAGATTGCTTTAATATTTTGTCATCATCTGTTACTAGCACTTCAATTTTATTTTACACTTTCATTGTTAACCTTGAATATCTTGAATATCTTGAGAAACAGGGGCTTCTTCTGCAGGGGTACATGAAAGCTATGCTAAGTATTCTTACCCCAATGCTTTCAGCAGCTGGAAGGAGTATCCCTTTTGGCATGAATTCTTTCTTTTTCCATTCCTTGTTTCAGAAAAGTACTGAAATAGTTGTGTGTGTGTGTTATACTTCCAGTATGGATTACCAGTTTCTCAGGTTTCATGCACTATTCACTTTTTAACTGGGAGGTTTCTGGGTTCATTAAATAAATTTCTAGAATTCCAGAGTTCTGCTGTAATATCAGGTATTTTTTAGAAAATAAATTACTAAAGACTACTATTTCAGAACTATTCCACCAATTACTGAAATTTCAGACTCTCATCTGAGAGCATAATCCTGTCACAGCATAGCATTTACAGGCCAATCTCACTTTCAATGAGATTATAGTGTTGGTATCAACAGGCTTTAGAATTCATTGTGATTGAAAGTGAAATATGGGATTTGTCTGCTGTATTTGAGATGACTGAGAGTTAAAAAGTCTGAGATAGAACCATTCATCTTAAACTTTCTAGTCTGAAAGAAGGCAGTGTCTACTGCATTACCTGCACTACAGAAATGAAATAAGGCAAAAAAACCTGACAAATAAACCAAATTATATTTATTGGATATGTTAGTTAAAGCTAAGCTTTATAAAGTTTAACATGTTTGATAATTGTAGCAAGTAAAAGTAAAGCAATTTTTTTTTTTTTCTTATGATCAGTTATGTTTCTATTAATCCTTTTTATTTTGGTCTGGAGATCTAAGTTCTCTCCCCCATCTTGCCTTCATTGAAAAATAGCTTGTGTTCATCTCACACTTTGTTTTTATTTTTTTTCCTCCCTGTTCCTTTTATACTTTTTAATACCTGGGTTTGTTTTGATTTAGTAATTTTCTTGATACACTGATATTAAGTAGAAAGAAACTGCAGAATAAAATTTTCTTTTGTTATTTGTATTATAGATGATGGCAACAACATGTAGCTTCATAGAAGGTTATATAGCTAATTGGATAATTTAGAAGTGACTAGGAAAACTGCTTTATATCTTCAATATGAAATTAAAATATTAGTAAACAAAACTTCGTCAGGTCTGTGGAAAGTTTTTCAGTTCCTGTTTTGAGTGAATATGTAAAGAAAAATGACTTGGAGATCATCACTGAAATAGAAGGGAGTTTAGCAGGAGGTTCAGTGTGCTAATCTTATGTGTGTTAGGAAATTAGAATTATAATACGAATTCCCTGCTATTAGGAAACAAAATTATAATGAAAAACAATTTTACAAATTTTACAAACTGTTGCCTTTTTTTTTTAGGAATCTGTACTCCTTAAAATTAACAGGATTCATTCAGGGTTTTAGTTCTTTTGAAGAATCTTCTTTTTAAATTGGATACAAATTGATTGAATTTATCAAGTAGCAGGGTTGGGTCATATATGTTGATTATCCTTTCAGAGACACAAAGTGATTTTTGAGTGGGAAGAGAAAAAGAATTGGTTTTCTTGATTTCTGGCAGATATTATATTAATTTAAACTGTGTCTTAGTTTCTAAAATTTTAAAATTTCATTGTCAGATAGTTTTATGTTTAGTTGTTTTTCTGAATATAATAGCTAGACATTGGGTGAGAACCACAGGTATATTTTTACAGGAACATTTTTTCAACATTTTATATGTAAAACATTGTGTTTGTTATAGTTGGAGATGGTTATTAACTGTAATAAACCTCATGCATTTGATAACACCTTGTAGTCAGCTTCGTTATTTTGCTTTAATGAGCTTAGAAGAGGCTTTTTATTATTTTGTTGTGCTGAACATATTTAATTCTTTCCTGTTGGTTGAAGGTGATAGGATAATGCATATTGCATTTCTACATTTCATGTAACAATGGGGAAAGAAATACTGAAATCTAGGAAGTTATTAAAAGAAGCACACAAACTTGCAGGGAGACTTGGGGAGCAGGTTTGTTGTAGATGGTTTGAGCTCCTTTTTTTTTTCCTTACTGAAATATCTAGCAAGAAAGCTAGCAAATATTTAATGCGTTAAAAAAGTAACTTTTCCAATTATTCAGAAAACAGGAATTACTGTAATCTTCTTTTGAAAGGTGTGATCTTTATATTTTTATGCTTTTTTGCTTTTGTTGTTTAGGTCTCTGACAAGTGTAATGGACAGTGCAGAAAAAGGCCTGTCCTCGGCTGAAAACTTAAAAAGTTTTATTGAGATAATAATTCCATTACTGATTGAGTGCTGGATTGAAGCATCTCCTGCACAATCAGCTCCTATTCTTGGAAACCTTTTGGAATCAGAATCTCAGCAGCTTATGCAGCAAGTTCTTAGCATAATACATTTATTGTGGAAACTCACAAAGCGGCATGATGAAACATACAAAATGGTAAGGGAGAAATGATCCTGGCATAATGATGACAGTTCATTTTGTTTTGATAAAAAAATAGTGGTTTGGTGATTTGAAGTACTGAAGATACTTCGTTAAGAGAGAAAAAGCCTAGGTGTTGAGTAGATTTTGAATCTGGATTTTGTTGCCTCTTACTGTAGAAAAAAAATCGTTGAACTGAGCCATGAGTTCAGTAAATAGTCTTCAGGAATCCTCCTTGATTGCAGCGCAAAGGTTTTGAAACTGGAAGTGGTAATGGAGAAGAGCATTTTGTCTCTCAGATAACCTTGAGAATATAAATTGGAACAAATTTATATTTGTGCAATCTGTGTTGCTGTGTTGTGATTGGTAGGGTTGTGAGACATTGAAACAAAAAGGATTTTAGTCAGTATCCTCAGTATCCTTTTTGTCCCAGTTATTTTCTCTGTATTTTACTTATATAACTGAATTGCTTTTTTTGGTAACTTTTGCTGCTTTTCCAAAAATTTTACAAATTGGAGAATTTGGCTATTGACTAGTTGGAAGGAATGTTTTGACAGCTCTTGGTTTTTAACCTGTGTATAGGACTGTGTAGGGCCCTTTGCTAAAGGAAAAGCTACACATGGGATAATGACTGGAAAACATCTGTGGAATCATTGCGTTAGACCAAAGTTACCAAACATACCTAGCTGTGAGGGATGGATTCAGTGTGTCTGAGCAAAGCACACTGTTCCTGTTTTTTCTTCTTCATCTTTTCTAGCGGCCCTCTTGGAAGTGGGGAAAAAACAGGCGCTTGACCTGGTAAATTCCTGTGGCAGCCTAGTGTCCCTGGCCTTTTTCTGTAGGATCCTGGAGAGCTGCTGCCCTTAGCCATAGGGTGCCTGTCTTTTGGTCACATGAATGGCATGCTCCTCTGTCAAGATATGAACTGCTTTGAGTACACACAGTTGGATTATGACCTTAAGTTGTTTGTGCAAAGAAAAAAAAAATCTGCGGTTCATAGAACTTGTCTTTTTGTTTTTGGAGCAAATTTTGGTTTTTGGGACAAATCTTATTTTAGATTAATGGTTTGTTTTGTCTTTATGGTTACCTTTATATACAAAATGCATTCAAATGGCTCAGTTTGAAAATTAAAGGTTTGCTTATTTAATAGCCCTTGGGCTTATAGGCCAAAGTGGTTATTACAGTCACTGTGGAAAACCACTCTGAATATGCTTGTCAGAAAGATATTGATTTTTGAAATAGTTTAATGGCCATTCTCTGCTCTTAATAGTTGAATATCAAAAGATTATTCTGCCTGATCAATTTGATAGCAATGCAGGCTTTTTTAGTAGTGAGTTCTGCTGTTCACTTTGGAATGGTGACTATCTGCTAGCATGCCAAGCAAAATTATTTTAAAATACTGAATCATTTTTCTGTAAGAGTAGCCTCTGCTGGAAAATGTTTTGTCAGTGGGTTTTCAGTCACAAGGATATTAATGACAGGGAATGGTGAAAGAAGTATCAGAATGTTTAACTTGCAACAACTGTCCTGAGTTTTCCATTAAAACACAGAGTCCCCTCTGATTTTAAGAACCCTGATAAATTGATATAAAAGTACTTTCATTCCGATCTGTAGTTCAGATTAGTATTGCATGTATCCACATCAATATGTGCTAAAAATAAAGTGGTTCAGTTAGCAACATGTTGCTCAGCCTTAACTTACAACCTCTTGTTACACTCCCTTGTTTTGTGGATCTTCATGCACATCACTTGAAAGTAAAGATGTATAAACCACTTGGAATGAGAAGCTAAGGTTCCTAGTTTCATTGATTCCAGTAATGAATTTTGGAACATAATTGTCTGGATTGCTACCATGTTTTCTGTCTATCATCTGCTTTCCTTAACAGGAACTATGGCTTCGAATGAATTACCTTGTTGATTTCAAGCACCACTTCATGCGTCATTTTCCTTATTCTTTACAAGATTCAGTAAAGCACAAAAAAAAAGATCCATGCAAAAGGTAAGAGTTAAATTAATGTCATGTAGCAGCTTTTAATTCCATAAGAGAAGTAGGACAAATGTGATTCACATGCTTTACCAAATATTAAATTTTTAATGGTGGAAAATAAAACTTTTTATTGCATATTTCTGTGGAGATGCAGTTGTAGGAAGGTTTAAATTGAGAAGTTTTAGTTGTTCTTTGTAAAATATTGTATAGGAAGTTGTCTGAATAGCATCTAGTAGAAAATGAAGTGCTGCCTTAGGGAAATTAAAGTATTTTATTCAACTGTTGATCTGGAATTTGCATATTGCTAAATGCTAATTTTTTTAGGCTGACTGGTTTCATATTTCTGCAGGTTTTCTTCAGCTGACTGCTGAATTACATTAAACTTAATTCAAACATTCTTTTCACTTCCATTTCTCTAGTTGTATTATGAGGTTGGGTGAGGACAGCTAGTAGGGAAGATGGGCAGGGACACTGTGACTGTCCTGTAGGGCAAAGCAGTACTGGTGCAGAAGCTAAACACACATTTCTTCACTATTGAGCTATCAGAACAGATGCGCTAATTCTGTTTTGCTGCAGGCCAGTAGTAACTTGTCTCCTGTCTCAGCACCCAGATGTGAGACTAAATTCATGCTAACGTTGTTCTGAAATTGTTCTGCCCCTTTGCAGTCTATGTAGAACACTGGTGTATGTACTAGGTGTATCAGCTGGTGTCCATTTTTATTTCAAAAATAATTTTTTTAAATCTTTCTGTTCTCCCCGCTCCTCCCCTTAGCAACAGGAACTGTATGAAATCCTCAAACAACATAGACCATCTTTTACTGAATTTAACCTTGTGTGACATAATGGTTTCGTTAGCAAGTGCTTCAACGCTTCAGACGGACTCTGGTTGGCTGGACATGATAAGGAAATTTGTGACAGACACTCTTCAGGATGGCAGCAAGTTGAGTAGCAAGCAAGTGAACAGATTGCTTGGGGTGACTTGGAGACTAATGCAAATACAGCAAAACAAGGGTAAGATGAGTAGTTTCTGGGAAGCAAAATTATGCAGTGACAAATCTTTGAGTTGTTTTAGCATTTTAATGCTGCACTTCACATTCTCAGTTGTTACATCAAAATGTATTTTGTCATAGAGGTAAAATGAATTTCATGGTAATATCCCTGCATGTAGCATTGGAGACTTTATTTTTGGAATGCTGTTAGATTCATACTGTTGATATGCAAAGTATGAATATATTTCTACCTGTTTACTGGTTTTGCTTCTTAAGATACTCTTATAAATGGAAGATTATCTTTATATTGAAGAAGGAACTACTAGGCTGTAGAGAGGCTGTAGAGACTGGTATATTAAGGACTTAATATACCAGTTCTTATTTAAAGTCATTAACGTATAGCTGATAGACTCACTCGAGTACTGTCAGGTGACCATTTTAGTTCTGTGATGATGTGAAATGCCAAGATACTTTTGTTGGAAGCTACTGTTGAGTATTTTCCAAGGTGTTTGATTGGAATCCTTTTTCAAGAGAAAACATTTCCAGTTATGACTTGCAGGACCGGTCCAATTTTCTTTTGTTTCAAGTACTACTTGGTTGTATTCCAAATGAGACCTTGGATATAGAACTTCAAGAAATAACTTTATCAGTAACCAGACAAGTGACAGCAGTCTTTTATGTTTTATCAGTGTGATAGAAATGAATTCCACATCCAAGTAGTTAATAGAAGAGTCCCTAGCAACAGATACAATTGTTAGAGTTGTAAAATGAAAATATGTCAAATGTCCCTCAAATACATTTTGGCAGTTATATTTCCTGCCAAATCCATTTTAATTGGAAATCTGTCTATTCCCATGTCCCCGGTGACAAAGGTAATAGCTACTCTTTCCTGTCAGAACTTCAAATTTAGCTTTGTGTTGAAAATAATAATCCAGAGTCAGAGCCTGTTGCACTACCTGAGCTAAAGCAGAGGAGTTGCTACTCAGGAAAGTAGCTTCCAAGCATTTGTTAGACTGTTAGATCAGATATTTCAGGCCTTTCTTTGTAATTAAATATTTATTTTTTTTTTAACTTTGCAAAATTTCTACCAAGTAGTGGATAATTTAATAATTTTCTGCTGATCCTGTGGAAGTTCAGTGTGAAAGTAGTTATCTCACAAAACTGTGTCTGTTTGTGTGGATGGTTTACCTCACCCCTTCAAGATAATCCTTGTGCAGAACTAAAAACCTGACTAGATGTCAGATTGTAATTAATCTACCATCTGTAGAGGAGATGCAGCCTTTACATACTGGAGCAACAGGAGGCTGGTTCAACTAGGAGAATTGCAAACTCCTGCAGCTGGAGAGGAGCAAGCCCATGCAGCTATACATGCTGGGGGACAACCAGGTGGAAGCAGCTTGGCAGTGAAGGACCAGGGTCCAGGTGGAGCCAGCAATGGGCTCTTGTAACAAAGAAGTTCAGTGGGCTCCTGGGCTGCATTAGGAGCGTTGACAGCAGGTTGAGGGAGGAAATCCTGCCCCTCTACTCTGCACTGGTATGGCCATTCCTGGAGTAGTGTGTCCACTTTGGAGGTCCCTAGTACAAGAGTGGCATGGACATACAGGCGAGAGTCCAGCAAAGGCTGTGAAGATGGTGAAGACACTGGAGCGTCTCACCTGTGAAGAAAGGCTGACTCAACTGGAGATGAGATTTGGGAAGAATCTCATCAATGTATGTAAATACTTACAGGAGGGGTGCAAAGAAGAGGGAGCTAGGCTCTTTTTCAGTGGTGCCCAGTGACAGGACAAGCAGCAGGCACAAACTGAAGCAGAGGAGATGCTGTCTGAACATGGGGAACACCCTTTTCACTGGAAGGATGACCAAGGCACAGGTTGCCCATAGTGATAGTGGAGTCTCCATCCTTGGAAATACTCAGAAGCCATCTGGACGTAGTTGCCAGCAGCCAGATCTAGCTGATCCTGTTTCAAATGCGCTCAGAGTAATTCTTTCCCACTTCAATCTTTATGTGATTCTATGGAAGAAAAACATTCTGTCCTTGACTGGTTTTTTGATAATGCTCTAGAAATTTTGAACTGTGTTTTGTTAGATAGGACTGCAAAAATGGTACATACAAAAAAATTTAACTCTTGATGTGTTGAAAGCAATTTGACATTGAGATTAAAGCCTGGAAGGGAATGTGTTATTAGAAGACAATGCAAAGTGGAAAATGAGCCATTACAGAAAAAAAAAAAGTTTAGAGCACAATGGAAATCAAAAGAAGGGAAGTTTACATAGAAAAACCAAAAGAGCTAGTGAAAAAGAGATTAAATAAAACCATAGTGAACCTCCTGCGTATTGTCCCCCACAGACATGCTTCCGTTTTTCGGGATTGCCTGTTTTGAGTAGAGATTTATGCTGGGGTGAAATGCACATACCCCGCTGTTTCTGTGAACATGTAGAAGAGCTTGTAGCTCTGTTATCTGAAGATATATGTCCATCGCTTAAGATCAGACTTGAGACCTCTCTGTAGTTAGGAGATCTGCTCCTTTTATAATAGTTTATAATTGTTATAATAGTTTCTTGCATTTCTCAGGTAGGACTTTAACAGCAGCTTGCCTGCTGGTTGTATTTTTGATAAATTTTCTTCGTGCAACAAAAGAGAGCACACTCAGTCACTTGAGAAGGAGGCTTGACATGGGCCAGGTAAAACCAAAGTATTTTAAAACCTCATGAGTTCTTCAGCTGTGTTTTGGGCATCTGTATGATGTGGACCTTTTAAAGTATTACTTTTTAAGAGTACCTTTTAAAATTGCTTCTATTTTTAAATGTGTCCAGTTCACACAAAACAATTCAAATAGTAGGACCTGTTTTACTTAACATGCCACAGAGTTTTAAGGAAGTGAGAATTCTACTCACTTAGAATATTTATTTATTTTTATATTTTTTCAGTTAGCAGTTCATCAATTAGGTATAAATTACACAAAGATGTAATTGTTATTCATTTAAGAATAAGCCAGTGTCCAGTGTTCTGTTTAAAAAATGCTGTCCGAGGTGAATCTTCACCTGAAGAATATATGAATTGAGTAAGCTGATACTCCTGATGCATTGAAAATAATAATATATGTCTTAGTTACATGAAATATTAAAATGTATTTTATTTTTCTGTTGGAAAATGTTAGATTTTAACTTCCAAATGGCTTCTGCTTCATGCTGGCATGTGGCCATGTCATTTCAGTTGATTTTTGTAGTGTGCTTTCTAGTGAGACTCCTTCTATGGTTACTTGAAGTTGAGTATGAGGTTTACAGACCAAGACTGGCTCCTGTCTGGATCCAGAATCATTTTTAGAAAGGAACATTCTTGTCCATCTCAGTAGGCAGAAGTTGCTTTGTTCAGTGTGGAACACAATATTTTATCTGGTTTTGGACTCATAACTTACTAAGACTGATCTGTGTACTTGAATGAAAAGACAGATGTTTCTCAGCTTTGGTTTATGAAGATAATGAAGTGATTGCTGCTACTTAAGTATGGACCACAAGCTCTTCTGTAACAAACCAAGTCAGGTCTCATACCTTTCATGTATTTAAGTTTTCAGATACTTCCCTATTCTTTCCAGGCTTGTCTTTTCTGAATTCAGGTATTTTTCTATTATTTGTTTTTTTTTCCATTCGGTGGTTTAGTCTGGTTTCCAAAGAAAATGTTTGGTCTCTTTCTCAGTCTATTACAGTAAGTACTGTGTTTGCTGGCTAATTTTAGCCAATTTGGTTACAGTGGTAAAGCTTTCAAATGTTGTTTTAAGTCTGGTGATAACACATGGAGGATGAGAGCTTCAGAGCAGGAAAGGTTGCAGAGGAGTTAGCAGTTCTTGCTGTGTCTTGCCAGCAGCTTCTTGAGGTATTTATTTTCTGGTTAATTAGCAAGTGTACTTGGAGCCAGCTGGTACAGAGAAAAGGAGAGCTGGTGAGTGTGTGGCAGGGAGAAAGGAATAGTACAGAGAAAACTGAAGGCACTGTGACAGTGAGGTTTTTGGGAGCAGAAGTAAATGAGAACATCAGTCTGAAGTTACTGCAATAGGGGGAAAGGATTGGAAGATAGCTGTGAAAAGCAGGAATTTATTGCTTTTCAGCTACCTTGCAACCTGCCTTCAGGAAGTTCTGAAGTTTTCACTTGCATGTTGTCTCTCTTCTTTTTTGTTTCTTTCCATTTCATTTTTCTTTGTTTCTTTTCTGTTTTCTTTCACAAGCTGCTCAAGAAGTGTTGTTTCAATGGTTTAGAAGTCAGTCCAGATGTTACTTCAAAACATTTTGGTACTTCCCTCTGGAGTACAGTGTAAGCAGTTGTAGATAAAGATCACAGCTCTGTGTGTGTGTGCATGTATAAAATCAGAAGAATAAAAAGTATTACTTCCGATTTTTTTTTCCAGTAGCAACGGAACCCTTGATAAAAGCAGTATATACACTATACCAGCAACGGAATCTGCTCTTTCCAGTTCGTACATTGCTTTTGAAATTTTTTAGCAGAGTTTACCAAAAAGAAGATTTGAGGACACAAAGAATCAGGTAAAAAAAAAAATCATATTGTTTTTTATTTCAAAATAGTGTATTTATCTGGGGAGTGAGAATACTGAATTTATGTGTAGATGTCATAAAACTTCATTCTGTTTTGACACTGTGTCACTGGAATTTGAAAGTTTGTGTGCTCTGTGAAATAGAGATGTCTATCTTAGCATAAGTAGTAGATAGATTTTAATTACATGAATTTTAGCTTGAAGTGCACTGGTACAAGCTTATTGTTACTGAATGTGTGGCAGTCAGTGGAAGTGTCAAGGTCATGAAGCTGTAGCTATGGAGCATATCCATCACTTCAGCCAGAGGTCATGAGCTTATCACTTAGTGCCTTTGTCGGTGTTCTGATAGTGGCTGTATAGCCTTTCTGACTTACCTTCTTCAAGAAAAATACTCTGTTGTTTTGGGGGTGTGGTTCCAAAGAGACTGGGTTTAAGAAGGTGTTCTTGTCCTTCTGGGCTCCTGGTTCATCATGGCATCTATTAGATCGTGGGCAGCTTTTAGATACTTCACTTGCTTCAAATGTAGTCAGGAAGAGATTATACTCTCTATGTAATGTTGTTGCAACAGTTTTTCATTAATCAGGTGTGTCCAGATTGTCTCCAAATCTTAATTTTTCTAGAATGTATTTTTTCAGCAAAGTCATCTAGTTCTAGGGCATAAAAACCTTAAACCACTTGTGGATGTGTATGCATCAGTCCTGGCTGCTTTGGGAACTGCAGCTCCCCTTCAGGTACTGTAAAGCAGCTGTAAGGCTATGGGAAGACCTTCTCTTCTCCAGGCTGTGCAACAGCAGCTCTCTCAGCCTGTCTTCACAGGAGAGGTGCTGTAGACCTCTGATGATCTTCTAGGTCTCCATGGACTTGCTCCAATAGCTCCATGTCCTTATTTCTGGAGACCCAGAGCTGGATGCAGGACTCTAGGTGGGATCTCACCAGAGCAGACTAGAGGAACAGAATCTCCTCCCTCGACCTTCTGCCCACACTTCTTTTGATACAGGCTGGGACACAGTTGACTTTCTGAGGGATGTGATCTGTTTCTGCCACTAAAAAAATCAAACCTCAGGTCTCTCAGAAGTTATGGCATCTGCTAGCACAGTCATGTTTTGGGAAAATTGTTCTCTTTTACAACTTCTTTGCTTTGTTACATCTTCTGTTGTGATAATGTCTGAGTACATGTAATTAGATCTACAACCAGAAATAATCTAGTGCTATACTCTGAACATTATAAAAAGTGTAGGGAATTTGAAAGACTGAGAAAAACACTTGGGAATATTCCATTTTTCTCTTCTGTTCACACAGAGTGAAAAAGAGATATTTTTCATACTAATTAATTTCCCTGAGGTTACATAACCACCATTTTTTGTACCTGAAAGTCTTGAGCATCTCATTCAATTTCATGTATCATATAATCATCTGGAAAGCTTTAAGTTTCTATCTTTAGACATCACAAAGAGCAGTAGTTTTGCTGCTGTTCCTCTTAATCTTCTACATAGATCTGTGATGATTTTTAGTAACAGATGAACAAAATCTCAAAACTTTGCAAAAAAGTATGACTACACTTACATCTGAAAAGACATTTGAAGCCAACATAATATTTGTGTACTGCACTATTCAATTTTTTTCCTTTAGGAGCAAGAGGGGTGTTTTAATTTCTTCAAAATGTGGACTGTTCAGTAGCTCCTGGACATCATTCATATTGTACCATTCAGTTTGACATCGTAGCTCCTTCAGCCCTCCTCTGACTGTTCTCATTCTTCTAATTTATTTTTTTCTCAGAAACTTGTCAAGAATAGTCTAAGAGGAGCAGAATTCACATTGAAGCATTTTTAAGAATTTTTTGTGAATGTGTGTATTTTTTAGGTGTGTTTGATTCAAAGGATAAAGTAGGAGCTTTTGGCCTATTGCTGCCTTGTGGAAAAAAGCCAAATTGACTTATTACATGGTTCAGAATTAAGTTTACTCTTGATGTTTTAGTATATCTTAGCCCCTAATCACGGCATACGTACCATGCACTGTGTGTGTATATTCATATATAGTGTGTGTGTGTGTGTGCACATATGCATTTATATACTGGTAAGAGCCTGAAAAGGCTATTCAGCCTCACAATCTGCCTTCAGCGCTGACCTATGTGAGATGCTATAGGAGAAAGACAAGAATTACTTTTACATAATATTCTTAAGCTTCCAACATTTGAAGTCTGTACTTCCTCACTCTGCAGAGCTTCTGTGAGTTTATCACTCAGTGAGTGTCTGTATCATTAGCTTTTCTCATCATGCTTTGGACCAGTCTAAACCAAGAGCAACTGCAGCGTCCTCTGGCAGGGAGTGACAAAGCTCAGCTGTGTCAAGACCCAACTGACTTTTGCTTGTTTAATCCTGGCTCCTTCTAATTTCATTTGATACTAGCATCTGCTTCTTTCTGTGGAAGCCTTATCGAATGTTTTGTTCCTATCCACTGTTTCCATGTCAAGTGATTTGAGACCTCTGACCCCATCTCCAACTCACCCACTTCTAGAGTTTGTTCTTCATGCTTTTCCTGCTGTTGTGTAATTCATCTCTATGCAAGGCCCTCCTCTTGTGTCATGGGTACTTAATTACCTTGGAAAGTTTTTGGTTGACAGGTCTTTGAGAGTGAAATAATCTGTATCATCATTATGCTACTCTTGTTGACATCTTCAAAGACCTACTTTGAACTTCTTGATTTGCAATTGGCAGGTTTTTTTCTTGTGATCATCACTTTAGTAATAAGCTGATGAAATGCTTTTGGTTTCTAATTAATACTTGATTTGATAAGCCAGGCTGACATAGAAATTATAGCCTATGAAAGATAGGATTTAGTCTATACAGTTGTGTCAGTTTGAGCCAGTAAGGAGAAAAACAACTTAGTCAAGAATAGGAAAAGAAGTTTGTGTGGGTTTCTGTTGTTTTATTGTTTTTTTTTTCTGCAACTGATTTTTCCGTCTTTCTTTAGAAGTCGAAGTAAAGTTTTATCTCGTTGGTTGGCTGGCTTACCTCAGCAACTGGCTCTGCTTGGCTTGAGGAATCCTGAGCTTTCCAATCAGCTCATTGATATCATTCATTCTGCTGCTTCTCGTTCAAACAAGGAATTGTTGCAAAGTTTACAAGCCACTGCTGCTCGAATATATGGTAAGATTTTGACACTACAGCACGAGGAAGTTTGTCCCTCACCTGGCAGGCAGGTTGCAGTAGGTGGAAAATCCTTTTGTTTTCTTGGTGAACCTAAAGACTGGATGGGGGGCTGGATTGCAGATTGGTTCAGTCCCCTAAAAGTTAAAATGAACCGTGTGTGTCATTTACTAGAGAGTAAAAAGATTGACATCTTCAGTTCAAATTAGTAGAACTTAAATCTAATAGACTGGAAACTTTAGATTTTGTGTGTCTGAGAGTCATAGAACCATTTGAGTTGAAAAATACCTCTCAGGTCCAAGTGGTAACCCAGCACTGCAAAGTGCAACACTAAACTGTGTCCCCAAATGCCATGTGTGTTTTGAGCACTTCAGGGGATGGTGATACCACCACTTCCCTGGACAGCTTGAACCAATGCCTGACTACCCTTTCAGTGAAGAAATTTTTCGTACTATCAAATCCAAAAGTCCTCTGATACAACTTAAGGCAATTTCCTCTCATCCTGTCACTTGTTACTTGGAAGAAGAGGCTGACTTACGTGGCAGCAACCTCTTTCAAGGAAATTGTAGAGAGCAAGTCCTGCTTTTCCAAGCCTCCTATTTTCTAGGCTAGTATTGCCTTATTTTTTCCTCCTTTTTTTTCCTCTTTAGTGTTGGTTATAGCATCCTCATGTCAGTGGGTAGCTGAGGTGGTTGGTCAGCGCAGCCGGGGTGTGTGGGGGCGCGTGCTGACCGTGTGTTTGCCGCAGATCCGCTCGAGGGCACGCTGGTGGTGCTGCCGCCCGAGGCGCAGCGGCGCCTGGTGCAGCTGGTGTACTTCCTGCCCTGCCTGCCCGCCAGCCTGCTCGCCTGCCTCAGCCGCTGCTGCATCATGGGCAGGATGTCCTCCGACCTCGCCGCCACCCTCGTCGGCATCCTGCACATGAGGTACCGCGCTCCGTGCTTGGCTCTAGCCAAAAACAACCCCGGGTGGGAATATTTAGTCATGAAGCGTGAACTTGGTGCTCAGTTTGCTCACACAGAATCAATATAACGTGCAGGAACTGATTGTGTGGTTGGCCTGTGTCTTTACACTGATTTTCTACAGTACATGTTGAGAAAATCATTCTACTGTTTAGGTTGGAAAAGACCTTTAAGTCTGAGTCCAGCTGTTAATCCAGCACTGCTAAGTCCACCACTAAACCATGTTTTTAAGTGCCATATTCATCTATTCATCCATATTATCTTACTGTCTTTGTATATATTAATGAAGTCTGCCAAGAATTTTCATCTTGAAATACAAACATTAGTGCTTTTAACACCTGGGTCCTTTCAGTAAGGATGCAAAGCAGCATTAGTCTGCCTCCTACAAGATCTATAAGGCTGCACAATATTGAGCACCTTCTACCCAGAACATTGTCACCAGTGGTCTCTGTTCTGCCACTAATTGCAGCTTTTCCTTGTGAATGCGTCAACCTGACACAGCTGAAAGTGAAAAACAACCAACCAGTTTTTCTCATGTTCTGCTTTCTTTCAGCTCACTTTTTCTCCAGTTACCATACCTAAATAGCCAAATTACAGTTTCTAGGCAAGTGCCTTGTTTGAAATTATTCATGCTCATGTTTTTTTTGTCCTGACTTGAAAGAGGGTAGGTTTGCCTGTGAAGTCAGGGAGCAAAGCTGCTCTGCTGTTCCATTGAAGTGAGTGGAGGGCCTGCTGAGATAAGGGTGTTTTGCTTTGCTCCTTCTGTGAAAAATACATTTTTCTCCATTAGTCAATATTATGGAACCTTGGATAAGCAAGCAGGAATTAAGCTTATATGAATTATGCTTAAAGTGATTCTTGATGCTATTTGGATCTGAAACATTTTTAATTAAAATAGGACACAAGACAATGTGCTGTCAAATATAGAACTGTTTGTATTAGCTGTGTAACATGTGGGTAAGGTGGCTAACATAAGAAGCAATAGTGGTGAAATGTGTATCCTAGATATGTAATGCATTGCTGCTGTAAAAGTCAAATTCTGTCTAGTTTTGGGAATCTGGACATCAGATTTTGTTTTTAAAAACAGAAAATTGCCATATAATGGAAGCTCAGTGACAAAGTGTAACCAGATCAAAGACAGTCATTGTAAGAACTAAAGTCAGTAATAAGCACGCAGGTGTTTAATTTGTTGTTAGATCTTAATGGATCTTCATTGTGGGAGATTTTTGTAGTAATGGGGTGCCTGTTTTCTAAAAATTACCGTAAAGGTGCAGGTGGGATGTGGGCATTTGATCCTTTTGGCAGAAGATGCAAGTGGCAGACAGAAGGCAGTGTCCTCACCGAAAGTAGGTTATGTTCTGAGAACAGAGGAGGAGTAAATTCTTTATTTTCAGAGGTGCAAAGGAAATATTTTAATTTTAATTTATGGCATTCAAAACACATTTTAAACTTACTTTGGATTCAAAGACTCTATATGATCAACCCAAGAAGTCTATTTGAAATCACTAAATGAAAGAAAAATGTAATGATGTGCTTACAATGGTGCAGTTTTTTGTATTGATAATCCCTGACAGCCCTTCTTTCTGGAGGCCTGCAAGTTTTGATGAAACTTGAAAAAGAGAGATTGCTCTTGACCAAGCATTGTTTTTATTTGATAAAGCTCTTCTCACTTTATTGAGAGGAATTAATATGAAGAACAGGAAGTTTTGTATAGAAGCACATCTGAAAATAATACAAGTCCTTGGAAAGATTAAAATTACTCTTTCATAGACAAAGTGAATGGAAGGGATTGAAAATAAATTCTTACCTTTATATCCAAGTTAAAAAATTGTACAGGTTACAAAGTGCTTGTGGATGATAGCTTTTTAAACTTTGGCTTAGGTGACATGTATTTTGTGGAAGACACCTTTTACTCTCTTTTTTTTTTCTTTTTTTTCAATGATGATGACAGTAAACATTTTATCCTAGGAGATTCATCTTGGGTGCCTTAAGGACTTAGGGAAAGAAGATGATAGAAATGTTTTTGGATGAGGGGGGTGTCCAAAAAAAGTTTCTTTGTCTACTTAAACATGCAAAGATAGGGAGATAAGTAATAGTAAATACTAGCTTTTCAAGAACAGAAGAGCCTGATACTTTTTTTTCATTGGAAAATAAGTTATACAGTCTAGGAAACAATAGTAGGTTTTCTAGATATGAACATTAGCTGAGCTTCATGAGCTTCATAGCCTGTTATTGCACACAGGGTAAATGAACCAATTTTCTGTCTTTTATCAGAAAGACCAAGCTGAACTATTGTATCGAGTTTCGTGGCTTGTTTTAGATAATGACATGGACAGACTGGATTGAGTTTCAAGAGCAAATAATAGTAGTCTGTGATAATGGGGAACGACTGACAAGTGGTCATTTTAGGTAGATAAGGCTGGGAAAAAGAGTCAGCTGTGTACAAGACTGTTGAAAAGGAATAGGATTAAAAATGCCTTAAATGTCAAGAGAATGTTTGGTTGGAGAGCTAGCAAAATTTTATGAAAGCAGAGATACATAGTGGAATGGGTTGTGTAGCAAGAGGATACAAATATACTTCACTGAAAATACTTAATATCAGGCAGTCGGGTTGGACGTGGATGGCAGAGGGTAAAGCCTAGAAGGAAGTAGAGAGACTGGGTAACCTGGTGATCATTTACAAGCTCTTGTGATACTCAAGAGTTACACTTTCAAGTTTGTCAAATGAATGGTACCATAAAAAAAACTTCTGTAATTCCACATTTCTGTGCCACAGCTTGGTTCGTGGGACATTTTCTGTAGTTTTTGATTGTGACTTGGACGGAGAAACTGTCCCAAATCCAGCGGGAGCCGTCATTTACGAGTACCTCGCTGCTGGCAGTAGATGGCGCTGTTTCTCTTCCGGTACATTCCCGTTCCCTGTGCTGAGGGGGCTCTCCCTAAATTTCTCTTCTCCTATGGAATCTACTTATCAGTCAGGCTTTAAATAGATTGCATTTAGGAGCGTCAGAGGGTTTGGTACTTGTTCTTAATTTCTTCAACAGCCTCTATTCCCACGCTATTTTGACTGGCAGAGAACGGCTGTTTTTACATGCATCTGAGAGTGCTTGTATGGAGCTGTGCGTATTTGTCAGGGACTAGCTATGTTAAGGTGGATTCACTGAAGGTACCTATGGATCATAATAAAACCTGCAGTAATTCCCTGAACAATCATTAGAAACTGAAGGGACTCGTAGGTTTTTTTATGTGTAAACTATAGAACTAATAGTAAGTGTATCCAGATGGTTCAAAGCCTGTGATTATATCAGGTGGTAACATTAAGTTATAATTATTGCCTGTTACCTTTCAGACCTTTTTTTTGTTTGTTTGTTTATTAGAAGTGAATTTTGAAAATATTTAATAGTTTCACTTTTTATTTTTGCAATGGTGAAGTGAATACCCAAGTGGTGTGTAGGAGCCCATTAAGTGACTTGTATGTGCTCAGAATCAAAATGATGTTGGCAGTATTTCCATATAGAATGGGAAGGTTTCTAAGCCCCTGGGAGGCTAGTTATCTATACTGTTAAATTACTATAATGGTTTCTGTAGTGCTTTTGGTCTACATTTCGCTGAAGCTGGCACAGACTAAGGACTGTTCTGAAAAGAGAGCTGAAATGCAGTCACCTCATTTTGGATGCTGCTATGGTCATGATCTCTGTGCCAGTGAACAGACATTGCTGGTGTTGAGATCACTGGGATGGCTACAGCTGGTGAGTTTCAGGTGAAACTGAGGATCAGAAGGTCTTGTAGTGGCTTAATTTCCCTCCTGTTCTTCTCAAATGCCTGCATTGTGCTTACTGTATGGGATCTGAGATGTAAGTAGCTTCAATAAGTGCAGGCAGGTGGAGTTCTGAGAGATGGAAGTGTGCCAGGATTTTGGGATATAAATCATACAGGTGAGGAAGGGTGTGGAGAGACATGAGTGAACAGTCTGTCACTTCTGCGTGAGAAATGAGAGAGAGCAGCTGCTTGACAGGAGATGAGTTTTCTGATTTGGTCGCTGATTTAAGACTTTGATAAGCTTATATTTATGGAGAAAAATGGGAGGGTCTCAGTAGTATTTTAGACAGTGTTCTGCATCAAAGCTACTGGATGGATTTCTTTTGTGATCTTTTAGGTGGTACTATTTTGGTATATTGAGATAGGCAATTCATCTAGATGCAGTGTGCCACATTTCTAGAAGAGTTAACTTCAATATTTATTTTTCATTTATTATTTATTGGAACAACTATTAAATAAGCAAGTAGTAGTTCACTGCTAGTTCAAGGTGAATGGTTTAAGTGTTGGTTTGGAATATACAATATATGGCATGAGTGGATCTTTGGCTTGAAATTCCAGTCTTAGCTTTGCCTTGACAGTGGAGTTCTGGTAAATCCTTGAGGCCATGGATATGGACAGATAGACAGTTCTCTTCAGGAAGTGAGGAAATATGTACATCATTGATGGTCTGATAGGGACTAAGGTAATAAACTTTAGCAGTATCAGAAGTAGAGCTTAAAAAAATTTTGGTGTAATCTCCCTATGCCTGCTTTCTGCATTAATAGGGCAGAAGGGCTACTTCAAAATGGTTTTAAAGAACCAGTGAGGAATGTGCTTATGTTTTGAGCAGTTTTTTGTAAGACTGACTTTGAGGCAAGTATTTTTGTCAAATGTGGAAATGTATTAAATATTGTAAATACCTTCTTGTATAAAGTACATTACTTTGCCTGAAAAAGGGTCTGCTGTACCAAACTCTGTACTGCTGCAATTGCAGAGAAACCCATTTGTCAGGCTCAGTGTTTTTTGTTGCCACTCAGTGATTTTGTGATGATTGAGTGTTAGATACTCTTGCAAACAGAATTATCTTTTTTTCTTCCCTTTTGTATATGGTGCTATATTTAAGATGATTAATATATAATCTGCATACTTACTGTTGTGTTCTATTT